GCTTCTAATTCATATTATAGCTCACTGGACATTTGGGATTGAGGTCATGGATACTGTGGGTTTTACAGTAGGAATGCATAGCTAAGACATGGCTTGCTTTTATCTGATTAGTCAATTCTCATAAATAAAACGATAAAAATAGTGAAGGAGAGCTTTGAGAGAGAGATGAGTACATGGTGCTATCCAAGCCCACAGTGTGTGACAAGTGTGTGAGCGAAGAATGTCCCTATCTGGAAGATACAATTCAGCAGCTCCTGTGCCTACTGCAGTTAATATATAGACATATTAAAGATGATATGTATGTTTACCTTGGAGCAGAACACAAATATGATTTTTATTTAAGCCCAAATGTCAACAGCTAAAATTACTATTACCACACAATTTCTGACAAGGTGATAAAAATTCACATAGAGCTCGAACTTCTGGCTTTAGCCTTGGGTTTTTACTAGCAAAATCTTTCGCTGGAGATACTGAGCAGCAAAATTGATTGTTCTGTCTCCTCTAAAGCATGAATAATTTTCTCATTGCAGACACAGTTTAGTAATCCGATGGCCACAGGAATGACAAAGAATCAGAGACAATGTCAGAATGGAGGGAAATCCTGAGATGACCTTATCTACAGAACCTTTTTACCAAATAACATCTCAAATGAAACCTCAACAGAAAAAGCAGACAAGTGATACCTGAGTTTCTCAGCCAAATTAAATCTTCATTATTGAGCAGAAATCAGTCTTTGTTCACAGACTTCTTTACTACCTCCACTGAGTACAGTGGCTCAATGCAGAATAAAACCCACATTTTTTTTTTTCAGGTATATGGAACTGTGGTCCTATGTGCCAAACCACTTTGCCCAAAGGTCACACAGGTAGACAGTGGCAGAACCCTGTACCGTGTTTCTCATACAACACCACAAAAGAAGTCGATTTGTTTGGCAGGTCCCTTATTAATTGAAAATGTGACCACATTCTTTCTTTCTTGGATTCTAATGAGTGAATTCAAAACCTTTGTATTCTTTCAGGATTAAAATGATGGTCTGGAAGGAAACATAAATCAGGAAAAGCTTATTATTAACAATATTTGCTCATTCAAGATCCCTCATTTCAAGTTCTACCATAGACCCAATTCACCACCTGTTCTAAAATGACATGAAATTGTCAGTATTCATTCCGTCTAGAGTCCAAAGGCCTGTTCTGCTACAATCATGAAGCAGGAGAGACTTAAGCATGGAGATGAACCGCACTGCAGTACCTGTAAGGGCAGAGTAGGAGAGGTGCAGAGGAAGAGAGGAAAGGACGCCCACATCTCTTTCAGTCAATTAGTGCAGACTTTTATGTATTTATTTCTGTAAATGTCCTCTTTGCTTGTTCCCTCTGTTTAACTCATTTCACCATGTGTTTACAGAACACCTGTGCCATGCTCATATCAGTCATCACCTCCGAACAAACAGAATGATGTTTGGAGAGTGATTCACACCTTCAAGTCCACTTTCTTTCAGAGATACTATCTCATATCTGTATATTTAAGCTAGGAATAACCTTGCACCATTTTCTCAGAGTCTTGTGAATGAATAGGAATGGGATTGCATGCTGGGAATGCTTCAATACAGAAACACTCTTTCCAGAAGCTGCCTCCTTCCTTCAAGTCATAAATCACTGGCCCACAGCAAAACCCAAGGGACGGGTGTTCCTGACAGATGATCCAACCTGAAGCCATCATTCAGCCCTTGATTAAGTATTCATTGAGCACCTGCGAGGTACTTGTAGGTCTTGGGCACAGAGTGGTGAACAGGACAGACCAAGTCCAGTGCACTGTGTGGTACAAACATGCTAATGGGAGAGACAGAAAATAAGTAAACCAATAATAAGCAGAATGACTTCAACAAGTCACAATGTTATGAAGGGAACAAAAAACAAGAAATCACAGTTTCCTGCCAACGGGACATGTCTACCACTCTCTTCTTAATCGGTGGCCAGACTTCCTAAGGACTGACATGAGTAATAGTGAGGAAAGGTGGGGCAGGTACTGGTGACAGAGGTGACATTGTGATTTAGTTCTGTGATGGACTGCTGCTCTTACTTTCAAGGATCATCAGCAGTAGCATCACCGCACCTTAGTTCTAGGAGAAAGCAGTGAGTGTGAAGCAAGCAGCCTGCAGCTCCAGGTAATGGACGGGCAGCCGTGTGAACCAGCCAGCCCCATGCTCCCACAGTGGGAAGCTGTTTACTCTTGCGTGGGGAGGACAGAGTTAGACCCAGTAAATCTGTAATCATTATCAGCCAGATCAACACATTCTAGCTGACTTGCTTTCTTTGTTTTTTTCCCAATCAGTGGTTCAATGACCTGTGAATGTTTGCTTTCAGAAGAAAAGAATGTTTGGGTTTTTTTTTCATTTAAATAAATCATGTCATGGTTAAAGGAAACTTTTGTTATTTCATAGTCTACTCCCCTCTTATTCATAGTGCTCAATAAAATTTAAAAAATTTTATTTGATGCCACCACTGAGTAGCTCAGACAAAAACTGCAAAAATTTATCCTAAGTATGTTTTAACCCCTGAGTGACACAAATGCTAGGAATGTGTATTATTATCTTAAGAGCTGAACTTTCACAGGTCCTAAAATTATGGCTATTTCTAAAAAAAAAAAAAAAAAAAAGCTCAATCAATGCTTAGGACAGACCTGAAGAGATGGAAGAAATGGAAGACATGGCTTCTTTCTTAAAGGAATTCAAAGCTTAACTGAAGAAACGCCTAAAAGGCACAGTAATAGGTAGCAATGTCAGACAGTACAAAATTAAGCTATACTATGAGATACAAAACTAAAAGGACTGCAGAGGAAGCTGGAATCAGCAAGTAGTGCTTGATGGGAAAAGTAGGACTTCAAGAGTAGAGAGGATTTATAGAGGAAGAGAGTAAAGTATTTCAAGTGAGAGGTAGGAGTATAACAGGGAACACACCCAGAGCTGGGCATGGGCTGGAACATTTCCATGGGACAGGGTGGGGATGTGAACAAATGCAGCTGTGGCTCATTTAGGGTGCTCTCAGGAAACGGTCACATTTATATTGTACCACACCTACAATGGGCACAGTGAGCTTTATCAGCTATAGATGCCTAACTGAAGAATTTTGTAAGACTTTGGCTAATATTGATTTTCTAGGCTCCTCAGTGGACTGAGGCAAACTGTCACTGATTTCTAAATATTTGTTGTATTATGTGTAACTTGAGCAGCATTTTGACAGCTCATGGGGTGTGTGGATGAATTTGAACATGAAGACTGCCAGAAAGCCTCCTTCCCCAACACAGCATTATTGCAAGGTCACTGAGGTGACATCAGAAATAAAAAAGGATCTCAAGACTTGCTAAATTCACATCCTTCTGTTCGTGAACACCTCATAGAGAAGTGATTTTCACTGGTTACCTTCTACAGAATTTATTTTTGGTGCTATTCTCAGAGAAGATAAGGAGATCACCCACGTCACTTTATTTAATATCTTAGCAAAATTAAGAGTTTTTAAATTGTACTTTACACTTTCTTATATTTATTCTTATATATTTTAACCTGTGACCTTACATTTTGAAGTCATTGGTAGAAATTCCATCCCTCCTAATATTTGTTCATCAGATTCACACAATCCAAAGTTCGCCGTCAGTTATGGATTAACTCCTAACCAGGAAATATTTTTACAATATGAATGCACACATTTGAAGACAATAGACTCCTTTCTCCCTTATGACTTGAGTCACTCATGATTATCAAAGTGCCTTTGATAATTTTAGAAACCCACAAAATCTGAATTAGCCCTGGATCTTAAAGAGAGAATGAGCAAAGCCCAGCAGCCCCTTCGGTTAAAGACCCCAACTGAAAGAACAGGAATCCATTTGAAACCATAATGAATGACTAGGACCCCTAGTGGCCAAACGCACCCCTGTCTCCCCATCCAGGCACTGGAGTCTTTATAGGAGCCACGTCTCTCCAACTTCAAGAACAAGGGCAATCCTGAGAGTTCCTGAAGCACTCCCCTCCCCACCTTCCCCAGTATCCCACATCCTTGATGTTAGCGTATGTTCCCATTGAACTGAAAAGCCTACAGAGAAAGGCTGCTTTGTGGCTTTGAAGACCCATTTCTCTGAAGTTAGCTGAGAACTATCAGAAGAGCTACACATCTAGAAGGCACTTGGGGAGATTTAGAACCTTCTCAGAGTCTCATATTCCAATTTTGATCGGGATTGCCCCTGAGGTATCTGAAGCAAATAATAATATAGAGCTACATAAAATATCTATACACTTCATCTTTTAAAGTGGATCAGCCTAGTGTATTGGTTCCCTTTTGGGTCTATTGAAGCAATTTGGTTCCTCTTAAAAAGAAAAGCATTATTCAGTACTACATGTACTCATATATCAGTATAATCATAAAGAGAGCAGACCTTTTCTGGACTCTTTTTTCTTTTTCTTCATCTGTAAGATGGGGGTAAACAATAATAATAATAATACCGGTGGTACAGACGTGCTACTGTAATGAATGTTGAGGTTTTATAATGATGCCTGGCATGTTATCATTCAAAAAAATAGGAGCTGCTACAATGATGATATGACGATTCCTTACTTTCTCTACATTCCTCTTCTCCTGCCTCTCAGCATCCACACACACATTCCCAAGTAACCTTGGATAAACTATTAACCTGGCCAGAGAAAGAATAAGTTTCTTTGCAGAGACCCTGACATTCACTATGATATTCCCAGGCATCTTGGTCAGGGCCAGGGACGCAGTGGGAGTCTCACTGTCCCTTTCGGAGTCTGATGGGTCTGACAGGAAGTGACTTCTTTGATTATGACTCCTACCATTGGTCAGCAGTTTTCAAAACAGCCTGAGATCAAGGGAATTTATATTTTAATTTTGTAAATTTAAAACTATGGACTGAAGAAGACAGAATCCAAATGAATTTGGGGTCTTTCAAGGATGTAGAGTAACTGTCATGTCTTTCCTTCCCCCCCTTCTCCCCAGGTTAATCTCAGAGCCACAGACGTCAGGCTCATGCGCCAGCTGCTCCTTATCAATGAGAGCATTGAGTCCATCAAGTGGATGATTGACGAGAAAGCCACGATTGCTAGCCGGGGCAGCAGTCTCAGTGGCAGCCTGTGTAGTTTACTGGAGAGTCAGAGCACCTCCTTACGTGGCAGCTACAATAGCCTGCATGATGGCAGTGATGGGCTGGATGGTATCTCTGTGGGAAGCTACCTGGACACTTTGGCAGATGATGTCCCAGGCCATCAGACCCCGTCAGACTTGGACCAATTCAGTGATAGCTCCATAATAGAGGACTCCCAGGCATTGCACAAGCATCCCAAATTGGATTCTGAATACTACTGCTTTGGCTAATGACCCAGTTTTTTTGCATGGGATTGGTGTGCAATTAATTCATATTTATCTTTCTTCTCCGCTGCTATATTTTTGGTGTGATTTTTTTTAATATGACAGCCTTTGGGGGGAAAAAAGCTTATTTTGAAACTGCTTGATGATTCTGTTGCTCCTAATATTTCTAATCCTGACTGATTTATCTTTCTCTCTTATATCTCTATTTTTATTTATTACAATGATTGTTCTCCCTTCTTTTACAGTGGCACAAATAAAGTAGGGGGAAAGAATAAGCAATAATTATGTTTTTACTTTTGTTTTCAGAGCAAGGGGTCAGGGATTACAAGAAAAACTTTGCTAAATTTTACAATAAACCAAAGTCTGATAACAGTTAATTTTGTTGCTTGTATTCTTAAATGGTTCAAAGTTTCATTTTCCAGAAGATACTGGGGTTTATTATTGTTTGTGTATCAGGTAGAACAAAATGCTTGAGACAAAGTTGGGCATTATTTTGGGGCCACAACTTCCTAGGGTAAAATCAACAATCTTTTGAGTCATATACTTCTCATGACAATCATTTGGAAGCCCCCCAAAATGCACTGTGTTCTATTCAAACTGTGTTCATACTGTAGATCAGCATTTTGTCATCAGTAATTCTAACTCAAACTGTAGACCAAGTTGTGTGATAATATATATGACTCTCCTAAATTTCAAAGAATTTAGATCAGATATGAAGGTGATTAGAGGTTAAGGTGTCCCAAATTTAACTGTATTTTGAGGTTTTTGTTGACATTTACTTGTATGCATTTTGCAATTCTAATAGGATATGCAAAAACATGAATATACACATATGGATGGGTGGATAGATAGCGTGGGAGGCAGAATTGCTATTCATTTATGAAGTCTAATGTAATATCCTTTCATCCTGCAATCGATACATAATCTCTCAGCTTTCTGCAATGGCATGAAAATTAAACTCATGTAGTGAACATTTAGGTTTGATGTGTTATTATTAATCCTCCAATTTCTTTTGCCTTGGTGATTCCTAGTAAGTGCATCTGGTGAGATTTCAAACTGTTTTTTGTAATGATACATGTTTCTGCACTTAATGTCTTATAATATGAATTTAAAAAATCCTATTTATAACTGAAAAATGCCCATATTCAAGACACGGTTTCCCCAAAATTTCCGTTGTTATTACATGCCTAGTATATACTTGTCAAATGTATTGTTTGTTTCCTGTTATTCAACTTTCAATTAAAATCTACAGGGTCTATATTTTACACCGGTCCTTTTGAATAAATTGCTTGATACAATGCTCATCACAACAATTTCATGATGTGGAAATAGTCTCCCTTCTCTATTTGAGGAAACTGAGGCACATATAAGGGAAGTAACTGGGTGAAATCACCCAGAAAGTGCCAAAGCTCGAATTTGAACTGGGTCTGTCTTATTCCTAACAACACTCTGTAGCCCCTTTAGTACCTAAATAATAAAGTCAAATAATAAAGTGTGGATGAGAAAGCAAATATAAGCCTGTGAGTGACCAAACATTTTTCTTCCAATCAGTGGGACCTGCATTTTCCAATTCTGAGCTTTCTGACCCCTTTCCTGAAATCACGTCTGGAGTCGGTTTTGTGCCTATTGTGAACCAGGGTGTTGGCCACATGCCAACTGTCCCTCATCATATATTTCCTCTTTTCTGCTTAATTTTACATCCAACTTAATAAAGGCTGGTTGGTTGGCTATTTTGTTTGGTTTTAATTGGAAATTAAACCAACCAATTTTAGTGCAGATTGTTTAACAGATTAAAATCCAAGAGCACGTATTATGACCTAGCTAATAAAACATTCTTAGAACTAAGACAGATGAATTTCAAGCAGGGGATAATGAATTTGCAATAATATATCTATGGCATTGCCAAAGCATCCCCCAAAAGAGGGAAGCGGGCAGACAGCAAGAGTATAAGAGGTATCAAGGGCAATTTCTAACCCCTTCACAATCCAGCATTTGCCTAGATCAAACCAGGCACACTGAAGATGATGTCTGTCCTCAGATCACACTTTCAGATTGTAAATTCAATCTGGCAAATTTCTTTTACACTGCTTTCCCCAATCAGCTTCCCCTGCTATTTGCCCATCCCATGCACTCTATAAATTTCCCCTGTGTGGAAAGGAAATAAAAAAGCATAAGAAGTGTGTGGAATAGTTTTCACTTATACATTGTATTTTATAGAACCTGTAATGAACATTGGCAAAATACTTAAGATGATTATTTTTTTTTAGTTCTATGTGTTTCCATATTTTATGAGCTTCACAGTTATGTCCATTTTTTCAAAGGATACCAAATACAGCCTCTGCTTTATGTATGTGGAATCACATATAAGCCATCAATGTTTTGATACTTGATTTTACTAAGAGGAGGGGAATATGCAGTTAAACAACATTAATTACCACCATTGGTCTGGAGAGAATAAATGCAGTCTCAACTAAAGAATCCCCATAACTAATCTCTGACCTACAGTATTTGGCCTCTGTCAGCACCATAAGGAAAAGGGGTAAAAATATTAAAGCAAAAGTACCTTTCAAACTATTCTGCGCACTGAGTTGTGTTCTCCCAAAGAAATGGAATTTTCCTCAGTTAGATTAATCTCTCCTTTTTTATGGACTTATAATGAGAGGGAGGATAATTGAAGGTAAGGAATTTAGACAATTTAAAAGCTAGTACATTTGGGGGGTTTTGCAAATAAAGGAACTCTAGATGACTAACTCAGAAGTCTTAATTAAACTTCAAAGAAGCTCCAATATTTATACGATCAGTCAGAAACAAATTGCATAGCATAAAGTTTGAAGTATTTGTCAACGTTTAGAAATGTGGGAAGGATTCTTTGCTGTTGGGTGGATTATAAAGGCCCTTGGAACTCCATGAATAACTTCAATCAGATATCCGTGCCCTCAACTGAATCAAAATGTGATCACCTCCAATATGCCAAAATGAATGGTCATTTTGAGGTACTCATCTTACTGACATCTCAGCAACAGTTGACACATTCCATGGTTCCTTTCTCAAAAGACGGTCTTCATTTGGCTGTTAGGTCCACATTCTCTCTTGGATCCCCTCATTCCACTGCCTGGTTGTTGGCACCCTCTGTTGTTTTCTCTTTAAATTCCTGACCTCCAAACACAAGTGTGCCTCTTTGCTCAGTTATGGCACCACTTGTCTTCAAAAATGACTTTCATCTAGTTTCACAATTTAAATGTCATCTGTGTGCGGAGATTCCGGGAAGTGTATCTCCAGCCCCAGTCTCTCCCTTGAACTCTGGTCTCCCATGTATATATGACTCCACAGCATCTCTATGTATCATCTGATAAGCATCCCAATCTAAACATCCAAACCTGAAATTTTACCCTTATTCTGTCATCTTTTCCAGTTCAGTAAATGGTGCCTATACTCATCAGAATCTCAGTTCAAACCCTTGACATCATTCTTAATTGCTCTCTTTCTCTCACATCACATACAATCTGTCATGCAAATCACATGAGCTCTACTTTAGAAATATCCAGAATGAGCTACAAATTCTCACCTACCATTGCTACCACTGTAATCCAAGTCAGCATCATTTCTCCCAGGGAAAGCGTTAAGGGGCCGACCCAGGGAGAAATAGCCACCTTGTCTCCTTGCTTCCACACTTACCTTCCTGCAGTTAGCATTCAACACAGCAACCATAGTAATCTTTTAAGATACAAGTTAGATTTTATCAGCCTCTGTTCTAACCCTGTAATGTACTTCCGCCTCCCTCCAAGTATAAATTCAAATCTTTACCATAGATTACAAAACCCTATGCAGTTTGTCACCTTTCTACCTGTCTGACCTCATTTTATTCCACTTTCCTCTTTCTTTCTTTGTGAACCTAATTTCATTCCTACTATTCCTTAACAATCTAAAAGCCCATGGATGTTCCTACCACAGAAGCTTTGTACTTATCATTTCCTCTTTCTGAACTATCCTCCCAAATATTCCTAAGTCTTGATTTCCCAGTTCTTTTTGGTCTCCAATCAAATGGCACCTTGTCAAGAGGATTTCTTACACAGCACACCTGGCACATTCTGTCCTTATCCTGGATGACTTATCTTCATACCATCACCTGATACATGCTTAGCGTGTAGTCTGCTTCCAGACACTAGAATGGAAGGTCTATGAGAATAAGAGCTGTATTTTGTTCACTGCTGTATCTCCTAGAAAAGTGTCTGTCACAAAGCAGATACCAAGTACATGTTATTAAAATAATTATTAAACATTTACTGAGTGCATTCTAGGTGCCAGGCAATGATTGTGCTAGGTTCTAGTGATGCAAAAAGGAGGACAGTATAAACCCTGCTGTCAAGGAACTCATTTGTACAGTATATTTCTCTAGTAGGAAAAATAATGGTTCACCTCCCTAAAGAGTTACACATCCTAATCCCTGGAACCTGTGAATGCCTTACACGGCAAAAGGAACTTTGCGGATGTAATTAAGTTAAGGATCTTGAGATGGGAAGATGACCCTAAATTATCTGAGTGGGCCCAATGTAATTATAAGGATCCTTATAAGAGAAAGGCAGAGGTGTCAGGGAGAGAGGTGTGAATGTGGTATACTTCTGGCTGTAAAAGTAGAAGAAAAGTCAAGAAATGCAAAAAGCTTCTAGAAGCTGAAAAAGGCTTCCCATAGGTATCTCCTAGAGACCTATTGACACGTTGGTTTTAACTGAGTGAGACCCATTTTGGACTTCCGAACTCCAGAATTGCAAATAATAAATTAGTGTTGTTGTAAGCCACTAAGGTCATAGTAATTTGTAACAGTAGCAATAGGAAACGAATACAGATCTCAGTAATTGGAAGTAGGATGCTGCTGTAACAAATACCTACAAATGTGGAAGTTGCTTTGGAACTGAGTAAAGGGTAGATACTGAATGAATTTTGAGGAGCATGATTTAAAAAGCCCAGATTGCTTTGAACAGACTATTAGAAGATATATGGATTTTAATGACTTTGCTAGTAAAGACTCAGAGTGAGGAACACAGGAGAGAAAAGCCATACTGTCTTAGAGAATGCTTAAATCATAAGCTGATGATTGGTAGAACAGATTGTTACAGCACCTCTGGTAAGGGCTCAGAAGGAAATGAAAAACATATTATTGGAAACTGGAAAATAGTGAAGTCTTGTTATATAATGGCAGAAGGTTTAGCAGAACTGTATCCTACAGTTATATGAAAAACAGAACTTGTAAATGATGAACTTGCATATTTTTCTGAGGAGATTCCAAGCAAAGTGGTTAAATATGTGGCTTGGTTTCTTCTGACTTCTTATAATAAAATACAAGAGGAAAAATATAAGGAAGAAGGAAGAACTTA